TGTCAGAGGCAAAGCCCCTGGAATTGTGCTCTACCCACAATAAGTATTCAATAATTTAAATTCAATAAAATAAAACCCAGGATTTAAAAAATGAAGTATAGACACAGTAACTACTCCACTATTACTTAAGAGAAATCTGGTAAGAAAAGCTGAAAAAGTAATCTGTTGCTTGGAGGAGGAAACAAGAAAATGAACTTATATATACTGTATAATTCACACTCCCCCCCCCCCATACCAGGAACCGAACTCACAACCTTGCACTTGCCAGGCAGGTGCTGTGCCGCTGAGCTAAATCCCCAGCCCCTATACTGTATATTATAGTTTAGTTCTAGAATGTCTCCCAAAGGTCCATGTGTTAAGGGGTTGGGACTTAGTGGTACTATTCAGAGGTTGTGAAATCTTTAAGAATGGGGCCTCCTGGGAGCTCTTTCATGGGATCAAGCCCTTAAGGAGACTGCAGGACACAGGTCTTTTGTTCTCTCTGTTTCCCAGCTCCACAAGGCCAGCAACTCATTCTGCTCCATGTGGTACTGCCTCACCACAGGCCCAAATCAACAGGCCAACTGACCATGAACTGAAACCTCTAAAACTATAAAGCCAAAACAAACCTTCTGTCTTTATAAGTGGATTACCTCAGATATGTTACAGTAATGGAAAGCTGACCACATGCATATATGATATAGTTTTCCTATACATAGTTTCTAAATTAGTGTTTCTCAGTTGAGGATAATTTTACAACTCTAGGGAACACCTGGCAGTGTGTGGACATTTTCTTATTGTTGTTGTCACAGATGGGGGAGAATGCTATTGGCATCTAATGGGCACAGATCAGGGATGCTGCTAACACCCTACAATGCACAGGTGAGCACCTGTCCCCATCGAAGAATTATCTGGCCCAAAATGTCAGGAAGGTGCCAAGGTTGAGAAACCCTGTTCTAAATAAAGCAGAGAAGAAAAAATCCAAAGTTGTGACAATATGTAGACTCTTTAAAAGTCTTCTTAAATAATTAGTACAGTCATCTCTTCTTACTAAAATTGGTCTAAGGGAAAATGAAAACAACTTTTTAAAGCAGTTCCAATTACATGCTAACAAGAAGGGAGTTGGTTACAAGTTCTCACTTACCATGTGACAAGTCTGCCAAAACTCACTGTATTTTCCTGTAACTGGTGATTAGCCCTTCTTAGTTACAATCTTCCCGACCTCTGATAAGTCTGTTCATATCAATATGGTGAGTAATTTCAAATATAGATTGACCGTGAAACTTAAATGGCAATATGGAGAACTATCCGCCAGCATACCTGCATACAGATGAACAAGCCACTATGTGGGAGACATCTGTTTAATAATTTATTCTTTGAACAAGATAATTGGTTAAACTAAGCCTTCTAAACTTTCAGGCACTCCATTCATGCCACTAACAACAAAAACCTGAAAGTCTAGCTAGGCTTAGAGGTGTAGTTGAAGACTACAAACAGTTTTACTCCACTATAAAATGAACTAGCCCTTTGAAAGTCTGCACCCCTCTCCACCCTAACACTGCCTCATGATAAACTTGCTATACTGGTGGCTCCAGATCTTACTATAATAATAAATCCATTAAAAACAACAACAAACACCTCAGCAGTTGCTATCAGAGATAACAGAGCTGTTTTTTAGCAAAGAAGTGAAACACAAGCTACAACAGGAAGTATGCACTTTGAATCCAACTGAAACCACAAAGGAAGCAGAAATTAACTACTAAAATAATTTAGCCAGTCAATATCCAAGTAGGTAATGCACTATTATAATCATTATAACAAAGACATAAGCCTCAAGAGACAGTAATTTATTTCAAATAATTTTACCATATATGGTATATCAGCCATGTTTGACAGATTTTCTAGAACCAAAGCTACTCTGCATTCTATAAAGGAAATGCACAATGGGGAAAGGGGGATGGAGCAAGGGAAAAAGATGACTTTGTGGATCACATGGATTAAAAGTAGGGTGTGATACAGGACTTTTCCAAGGTTCAGAAGACAGTGAGTATCAGGCCAGGCATCATTTAACTTTTTTAGAACCTATATCTAACCCTGTTTAGTTATATATTCTTCCCAAGGCTTTCACTATCCTCAGTGTTCCCCTCCTCAGGCTATTAACAAGGCTTTGTTTATTTGTTTGTTTGTTTGTTTTCCGGTACTGGGAATCCACCTTGCGCTTGCCAGGCAGGCACTGTTAAATCCCCAGCTCTAACAAGGCTCTGTAACAAGGTTTTGTCTGCTACTTTATCCAGCCTCACCCTAAAATTTACAGTGACACATTTTATCCTAAAATACAGTATACTGGATATTTTCATTCTTATTTGACAACCATTTTTCTACAGTCTCCGAAAACTCTGTGGCTGTTACATTATTTCTACCTCTAGTAACAAAGTTTCTGACAAAGAAGTACATCACTGGAAAGGTGCCTCTTCATCACAGACTTATCAGAGAAAACAATCCCAACAATTTCTGAATCTTTCCTGTGAAGGTACCTAACACCAAAGAAATTAAAAACAAAAAAGAACAGTGAAGGAAAGAAAGAAAGAGAACTGGGGAAAGTGTAGATAGGAACACTGCCTCCCACAACGGCAGCAGATGTTGGTGAGTGGCACCTGTGCCACCTTTCACAACAGGGTTTCACTTGTTTGAATGGTATTCCCTATGGCTATGATTATTCTACTTTCTCATCTTGGGAAACAACTTTGATGACATCTCTGTCTGGAACCCCTGCTTTTGCCTCTTTGATATGTTAATTTCCTTATTTCTGTGACATTCCCTTCTAACAACAAAAGCTCATTCTCTTTTCTTCTTCAGAACATCATCTCTTTCTGATAGAGGTTTTCTTCCTTTTACCTCTGCTCTTTTCTACAACTTGACACTAATTCTGTCCTTTGAATTTCCACTCTTTCTTAGTCTCACTGAGGCTTCTTACTTCACATCCTCATTTCTCATGCTCCTGAAACTGCCATCTTGCTCCCTGGTTTGCCACCACTTCACAGTCAATGCCAGCCACCCTTGCTCATTTATTTTAAGAAATTAAAACTCAGCTAAGAGAAAACTAAGTTTCATCTACACAACCTACATGGGGGAAGACTTACAGCTATGCCCAGCCATGGCCCTCCAAACTGAAAAAGGTAGGCCACAGAACTCAAGTCAAGGACACAAGTAACTGCTATACTTCCACAACACTCATCTAGCAAACCCTGCAGCTTTCCTGACTTTTATAAAAACCAAATTCTATTTTATAATGAACATAATGTTTCCTTAAGACATTCTCCAGTCTCCCCAGAGCAGCCTTTTAATGCAGTGATTATCCAGAGGAAAAGAAGGGAAAATGAGGCTGGTGCAAGACTTTTTTTTGACTCTTCCCCAACTCCCCAACCCACCCCTACTTGTACCCCTCGGTTCCAGACTCTTCTCATCCCTAAGACTTGTTTTATTTACTTATAACAGAGGCACAAGACTGAGACAACACTGTCTCCCAGGAACCTTAAGTTAACTCCAGGCCCTCTGTGGCCCCCTTTTTGGTTATTCAATTTCAGCTGGAAATAGGCAAGTTATTTTAAAATTGTGTTCATTCTTCTTCTTTTCGCTCTTAAAAAATCTAAATTCATCCAAGATGCTAGCTACCACTGATTCCATAACCTAAGGATAAATCGTCCTCACCATACTGACTTATGATGTGGAATATATTAACACAGAAGCCCACTGATATTCTATTAAAAGTACTACCACTTTTCCAACCTATCACGTTTTTCTATTCCTACTGCAAAGATCTTATTTCTAGCCCTAAGTATCCACTACTTTATCACACAAATAGTAAATTTCCTGATACACAGCTACAACTGTGGATCATATATTCAGGACCATCTTAAATACGGTCACCTTATCAAATAAACTTTCCCTTTATATCATGTCTCTATAAACAGTACATCCTTATTTTACTTAATTTCACTTCCTAACACTTGTGACTACCTGACAAGCATATGTTCATGCTCCTTGACTATGTCCTTCTACTAGAGAAACTCTTTCCATGTTCACCCTTTTCTTAACCCATGTATCCTCAGCAGAGCCATGTAGCAAATAGCAGCACTAACTTAAAGCTAGAAGCATCTACATTTAAACAATTTATACATGCCAGCTATGAGATCCTCAACAATTTTAACTTCTTCACATAACTTTCTTAGTCTGTTGAAAGAATCACACCTGATACAATTCTATCTGAGCTTTTCCAGCTGTATTACCCTACATTCTTGTCTAACTGAACCCCTCTCCAACTTCCCTATCCACACCTATTCTGTTTCCTTCCAAGTGCAATCTCTCCTTAATCCACTTCTGTCAGAATATTGTTCATTCTTAAAGTTCATTTGAAGTACTATGTTCTCTTTAAAGCTTAACAAATTGTAAGCTCTGTGAGAGGAAGGTGGAGTTCTTCTATTCTTAGTTGGCACAATGACTCCTGTACAGGTGATCAACCAAACAAGTAATGAATCATGAGCATACGAAAGAGCAAAGGATGCCTTTCGTGATTCTTCCCAATTGTAAAATAATTTCATGCCTTTGGACTCATACCACTTGCTATCTTTTATGGTATTTACCATATTGTACTCTATACTGTTATTAATTTACTTGCCTAATAAAAACTAAACAGCAATTTCCTTAAGATTAAGGACTGCCTTGATGGTTTTCATATCCCCTACAGCATCTATCATGAATCTCTGCCATTGTTGTACTTTCCAAGTTTTATCAGATACATTAAGCAATAAAGAAATAATACAGGAGAAAAGTAGGCTTCAATACACAGGTATCACTTCAATTCCAACTTTACCATGGTCATTGAGCGTTTGTGGTATGTTGCACTGAGACGTTCAAGCATAGTTTAAAGATCTCTTCCCAACCTCTCTATGCTCTGTATAACAAAACTACTGATACTTTTGAAAGTACAACAGCCACGGTGTGTATCACGTAACTACATCCCTTTTCTTACGGTAGAGATCCACTCACATCAATACTCTCACTTCACTAAACGTGACCTTTCTGCTCAGTTTAGACTTCTGTTCTATCCAATTCCCTCCTCTGCATGGTATGAAACCACCTTCAAAAAAACATCTTCCCATAAGGCTTGCCTTTCTTAGCTCTGCTTCTGAAGGATGAAAAGAAACAGCTTTAAATCTTCTCGTTCTTCTTTTCTACGAAGCAATTCCCCAATTAATCTCAAGCTTCAACAGCCTTTTCTCTGCCACCAAGATTTTTGATACTCTCCAGCTCTACCTCCACGCTCTTATTCAGGCTTCATGGAACCTTTCTAGCTGCACAATAGCTGGTGTCTTTCCATTCAATATGTTCTGTCAGGTACCAAGTCCCAAAGTATCTGGATCTTCTTTCTGAAATGTGCACCAATCGCTGTCCTCCCCCCACCCCAGACACACGTCTCATAGGCACACACACTGTACCCATGCGTCAGTCTACCTCCGACATCCAAGTTCCTTACACCACTCCTAATGAACACGATTTTAAGAATGGTATCTCCCAACCACTGTTTTTAGCCCAGTTTTTTTCCTCGAGAACACAACCTTGTTCATAGTACCTCCCTCTTTCCTCACTTCCCCATCCATTCCCTTCTTCATGCTTCCCCCACTCTGCCAACTAACCACAGAGGACATTATTTCTCAGTACTCCCAACCTGCGAATGAAGAACAAGCTCCCGCTTCCAGCGGTCTACTCACCTCCGGTCTGCCCTCAGGGGCCCCCCACCAGGTGTGCCGACTTCCACACAGTCCTCTCCCTCATCGTTCCAGCCAATGCCACCCCACACCACGTTTCCCCCGCCGCCGATCAGACTCCTCCACACCCACCTCCACTCTGGGTGGCCGCCGCCTCCCCGGGCGCCTCTTCCCACCTCTCGCAGGGCAGCCGGAGAGTGCCGGCGCGCACACTCGCATTCTCACGCTTCCCAACCTCCGGGCTCGCAGCGGGACCTGCCGGCTGCCGGGGAGCTCAGCCGAGCCGGCGGGTGCTAGGCACCCATGCAGGCGAGTGCGTGACCACCCTGCCCCGCCGATCCCCTCGCAGCCCCTCTGCCTTCCTGCCCACGAAGGAGAGGACACAGCAACTCCCCCACCGCTCCGGACACAGCACCTCTAGGTCTGTGCTCCAAGCCCCAGCCCTTCGCCCGTTTCCTCCATGCCCTAGGCCGGCCTCAGCACTCACCGGAGGTACTGCGCGCTCTGCAGGCTCATCCTCCGCCGCCGCGTCTTCCCGCGAAGCCTCCGTGGGTCTCTTAGGCTCCTCGGAGCGGCCCCGCGGCACCGCGGGTGCTGGCGGCCGCCGCCATCTTCCTCTCCTCCGGCTCCTCCTCGCTCGGCGGGGGGGGGGGGGGGGAGGTGAGTGAGGCGAGGGGGAGGGAGCGAGGAAAGCTGCTCTAGCTGCTGCTGGCTCTCAGGGCGCAGGGACACTCCGACCCGGGATCGGGGAGGAGGGAGAAGGGAGGGGCGGTGGAAAGGGGAGGGAGAATCAGAGGAAGTGGGAGAGGTCCTTCTCGCGAGATCTCAAGAGCGCCGGTCCCTCAGGGTGATTTCCGTGTCTTGGAATAGGTCCCTCTTCGAATCAACTGGGCGTGTGGCGCGTTGGCGGCTGCTGAGAGCCCTTGTGGTGGCGCTTGGCGGCCTCCTTCCGATCCACCCCTCTCCTCCCGTGTGAGGGGATAACCCCAGCCTCACCAGGAACATCGAGCCCAAATCAACTGGGAGTTACACTTAAAGCCTTCCCCCGTCTTTACCCTCCCACCCGCTTTTTCTCTTCCGCCTTCCACTTCCCCACTCTTCCCCACCGGAAACACCGCCCCTTCCTTCTATAGTTCCACCCGCCTGTCCCTCGATTCTAGTCTTCCCTCGCCCACTGAAGAGTGACGCGAAGGCCACGCTCTCGACCGGTGCCCTCCCCATGCACGCTGGGAGACTTTTGGAGGGGATAGGGTGGAGCCCGGGAGGAAGAGAAAGGAAACCAATCGGATTGGATATGTAGCTGCCATGGCAACTGGAGCTGCGGTTGTATTGTCATAGTAACCGATGTGTGGACTGGGTGACCCTCCGCTTGTCTAATGGATTTCCCTGGATTCCCCCTTAGCTTCCCATCCAACTCAGGACCTCCCCTATGTTGGGAATCGTGGTTCTCCCGGGCAGTGAAATCCATTTCTTCCTCCCCCCGCTTCCCGCAGCAAGTTGGGGGAGACCCCGAGGCATTCACCGTGGGCATTTCCACCCGCCCGCGGGCAGGAACCACCTCCGTAGTTTCCGTTCAGAGCCAGGTGTGGAGAGGGCCGGGCTTAGAAGAAGATGCAGGGCTGAAGGCTGGCTGGAGGTGGGCTGGAGCGGGGAGGGCGCGGGCGAGGCGCGGGCCGGGCTTCGAGGCTGGGTGAGGGGTTTCCCCACAACTGCCTCGGGCTCTGGGAGGCGGGATCCCAACAGGACGGGGTCCCTGAGGGAGGAGAGCGGCGCACGACAGCTGATAGCCCTCCCGCCAAGGACATCCAATTTTCCCTGGCGAGTCGACCCCATCCCGAAATCCCCCCACTGCACCCCCCACACACACACCCTCCGCGACTGAGCTTCCGGGAGCCTGCCCGGATAGGTGAGGCTGGAGACACCTCCTAGATGGCTCACAAGTGGTTTTCAAGCACTCAGAATCCGGGACGATAGGAGGGGCTTGCAGAGACACCCCACCTCACCCCACCCCAGTGGAGACCGTGCTTATTAGAGGCAGATCTCCAAATACTTCCCTCCACAACCTTCTTTCTCTCTGATGAAGCTGCAGTGTTTCAGAACTTGTCACCATTTTTGGAGTCAAGGAGAAAAACACTGAATAAAATAATATCAAGGAGAACCCACACATGTTGAGACGAAAGTCCGGTGAAGGGCTAGGAAAAGAATTTTCCATTCTTAATAGAAAAATATTTTTGAATGTCTGTTATGTGCATTTTGTGTCAGGTTTGGGAGTGAAACGCAGGAGTAAAGAACGGGATCGATGACAGGGTATATGAAAAATTGCTGGAGGAGTCACTTTAGTGGCTTGAAGGAATTATTTGACGTTCTACGAGTTTGATGTTAGGGTGAGTAAAGGCATAATAAGATCCTTCAGGAATTCAGCCCTCAGTGATAACTAAAAAAAAAATTCTCGATTAGTCTATTTTGGTCTGGGCACCTGATTCCTGCTGTCTTTCCATGTTAACTGAAGAAGTGCTTTGAAGATTCTTTTCAGAGACCGCACCTATTAAGAGTGGACCTGTGTTTATTTGGAGCATTATGTACGATCTGCTCTGAAATAAATGCCAAGGACAGGTGATTATTAACGAAATAGAAAGTAAGCTGTCCCATCCTGCTGCAAGCTAGCACCTAGTATGATGCGCTATGACGCGCGGTGATTGCGGCAGTACTGTGCCCCCAGTCGCCCCGCCTGGCAACGAGGGACGCGCCGCCCCCTCACAGGAAAGAGAGCCACCTAGTGATTGTTCTCATCTCTGCTGTATCATCTTGCTTTTTCTTCAACTCTGAAAGCCCAAGGAGAGAGATTGCTGCTATACATTACCCTCAAAAACCCTACATTTCTTTTCCTAAATTTATTGTATTTTAAAAAGATATTACCCATTATTTTATGTTGTAGAAAATAATTATTGCGTTACTAGTGATCATAGTGACCTTTTATACTGGGGCACGTATTTTTCGTAAACACTATATGAGCAAGTCTCATACACTACTGATTCTATGAAAATATTACCGTTTTCTCATGTTGTAAAAAGGGATAGGAAAGGTGAATCCGTTAATTATGGTTTATTTAATAAATACTGACTGAATGCTTACTATGTTTCAGGTACTATCCAAGATACCATGGATACCATAGTGACAGACTGAGACCCTGTCTTGGAAGAACTCTCCTTCCGTAGAGACAATAGAGTAGGAGAAATTATTAGGATGCAAAATGATGAGGCAGTAAATGAGGTATGAACAACCAGAAGAACACAGATGGGGTCATAAATAATAAACTTTTTATTTTATAGCAGTCTTCCTAAATAGTTTATGATTCTTTAATAGCTTCACAGTATCCCTACCAACTAGATAGAACAATGATAACATTTTTATCTTACAGACTAAAAAATCATTAATATTGATCTTATAAATAATTTGCAGAAAACAATAGGAGTCAGGAAAATTATTGCCTGGAATTTACATATTATTAATGCAAAATATCCTGTCGAACCTCCTTCCGCTGTTCCAATCATCAGGCTTCATCATCATCCACAATAAACTGAAAAATCAACAAACTTGTGGGATACAAACATCTTTCTGTAGTAGATTTTACTAAGTTTTACTCCTGCAGATATAAGTTGCATCTAAACTAAAAAGAATCTGCCTCATTTGCATGAATCCAAACTTATTTGGAGTTTTTTGGTTTGCCTTTTTGACTTAAGTGATTTCATGGTCAGTTCATAAGCTAACAAACCCATGTGTTCATCCTACCTCTCCCATCTCAGTATAACAGTATCAACTGGCTGATGATATCGCTTATTACAAGGTCCTGTGAACTTTAATAGTAATGTATATGACTTCATGAGTGCCTGATGCTCAATACTGGCACCTGATAAATGTTCATTATCTTTCTGCCCCATTCCTCTTTTATAGCTAATTAAAATAGGTGTATTTAGAACTACTGCAGCATAAAATTATTTTAAAAATTTATTTAAATTTAAAAAATTTTTTTGAGACAAGGTCTTGCTATGTAGATCAGTCTGGCCTTAAACTCACTATGTAGCTCAAGCTGGCCTTGAACTTGTGGCAATCCTCCTGACTCAGCCTCCCATATGCTGGGATTGCAAGTATGCACCACCACACCTAATTTTAAAATTATTTTAAAAAATACTCTAGTCTTTATCTATAGCACATATAGAGCACACATTCAAGTCTATTGTCAGTCAGTGCTAGAAGATAGATTTTTTATCTGTGACTTTGATTACAGAAAAGAACACAACAGGAAGACATTGTGAGTCCGCTTCTAGAGAGTTCAAACTTTTCAAAAACCCTTTACCATAACCAAACAGACTCATATAACCATATTTCTGCTCAAGAAGATGAAGGTGGCTTTTAAAATTTTATTTTATTTTTTCAGACAAGGTCTTGCTAAGTTGCCCACGCTGGGCTTGAACTTGTGATCTTCTTGCCTTGACTTCCCACGATACTAGAAATGCAAACTTGTTCCATCATGCCTAGCCAAGAACTTGATGAGAAACTACTATTAACATTCCTACCGCATAGGGCAAGAGCCTGGTAACCTGGTAATTAATGCATGGTAAGCCTCCTCTCTTTTTTTAATAATAGATCTCACCTGTTTCATGAAACCTTAACAAGCATGCATTTATTTTAATATTTAGCCTACATATTCTGAATGTTTCCAAATCATGTGCACAATTAGACACTTAATAGATGTGTTTCTATTTTGGTGAAATGATTATCAACTGCATACGCAAATATACAATGTATGTAAAGCTGGCTGGTGTTCTTTAGTGCCACACCCTACACTGTAGAGCTAGGTGATTCAATCTAGTGAGTGATTCATTCTCTTCAAATAGTGAGTCAGATACAAATTGACATTTAAACTCAGGTCTGTGTTGCTCAAGATTTCTTACATCAAGCGTTAGCGCCCTCTCCTAGAGAATTTATCAAGTATTCATTTGTTCCTAGTGGGAGCCAGCCTGAAAAGTGGGAAGCACTGCAGTCCAAGATCCAAGGGAAAAAACTTCCAGCTCTGTGAGCAATAGGATGACAGCTTGGGAATGGTGGAGTGTTCATTCCTCTCCTCTTCGTTCCCTCTCTCTTTTCCATTTTCCTGTATTTGCTAAGGGAAACTTTAGTAAGCCTCAAGAATTTTTCCCAACTTTCAATAAACAACTACTTCTGACAGCCAGACATGATGGCACATGCCTGTAACCCCAGAACCTGGGAAGCTGAGGCAGGAGGATCACCATGAGTTCAAAGCAAGCCTGGGCTACATAGTGAGACCCTGTCTCAAAAAACAAAAACTGAGAACTCACTGTACCTGAACATCTGCTAATTTAATGGATGCAGCTGAAAAAAGGGCTCCTCACAGAGAAGATGGAAGAGTATTAACAAAGAAAATAGAAACTTAAGTTGCTCATATTCTATTGAACTCTGAGGTTCATGCTGTTATTACTGCAAGCACAGGTCTACCAGTCATCCTGTGATCCCAAATCTAAATGTGTGGTATTCTCCAGAGCTGCCACTTTCTTCTTAAAACATCCAACTAAAGGAGCATAATTGTTTAATGTTTTCTATTCTCTCCTAACTTGTATTGAGTAAATAGTATTCGAGGACACAAGGAATGCGATTCGAATATTCTATGTCACAAATCTGTTCTTCAGAATTATGGAAAACTACATCTGCACGCACAGGCACAAACATATACCTCACTTCCTCCTTGCCCTGCCATTGTCACTTAACCATCTCAATTTGCAATTCAAGTTAAAATGTGATTCAAATGAAAAACAAAGAAAGTTAGGATTTAGGTTCAGTACTTCAAAGCATAGGAACAGTATGCACCCAACTACTGTTGCTTTGCTTAACTACCACAGAATATTTTCCCAGAAAACTTTTTTATATCAGAAAGCTGAGCCGGGCATGGTGGCTCACACCTGTAATCCCAGCACTTGGGAGGCTGAGGCAGGAGGATTGTTTCAAGTTCGAGGCCAGCCTGGGCTACAAAGTGAGTTCAAGCCCAGCCAGAACTGCATAGTGAGACCCTGTCTCAAAAAGATAGAAAAAAAAAAAGAAATCTAAAAATTTGTTCCATATTTATAAAAATTCTTAATATCATTGGATTAAGATAAGAGCACATTCTAGAATGAATTAAATAACCAATTAATGTGTACTTATACTCCACATTTTAGCCATAATAGGCTTTTAAGTTTTTTTTCTGGCTGAGTCTCCATTGCTTATTACCTGTAGGATAAAGTTCCTAATCCCTAGGATGACCTGTGTATTTTGGCTTCTGCCTTACTTCTCTAACTTCTCATACCCCATCCAGACCACCATAATAACCTTCAATTAGGGCGTTAAAATGGGCAGTGTTCTTATCTTCTCAGAGCCATTACCCAGATTGCTCCCTCTATCTAGATAGCTTTTCTCTCAGACTACTGTGCTTCAAGCCTAAACTTGAACTTCTTTGGACAAACCTTCTCTGCCACCCCACCTCCCAGTATCAAGCTAGGTAGGACACTATTACATGTTTCTGTAGCACTTTACCCTTCTTCTTCATGACACTGGTCAGTGCTTTGTTCAGTGTACATTCTGTAAAGGTAGATAATGTGCTGATTTTGCTTACTTGTATATTATCATTCCCCTGGCAAAGTGCCTGACCAAAGGGTACTTCATAAATGTTGAATCTGTGAATGAAAGAAAAAATCAATGGAATAAACATGACTTTCAAGTAAATGTCTAAACTTCATGACCACCTTACTGAGGAATATTCTTTAGAAGTAATTCTTAAAAGGGGTTGGGGATTTAGCTCAGTGGCACAGCGCTTGCCTGGCAAGCATGAGGTTGTGAGTTCGATTCCCGGTACCGGAGGAAAAAAAAAAACACCAAAAAACAAAAACAAAAACAACAACAAAAAAGAAGTAATTCTTAAAGCAGTTAGAATTTTCTTGGGCCTTCAACCAATCTGAAGGATTAAATATTTAACAAAGTGAAAGTTTAATTAAATGAAATTACCTAGGCATTGAGTAAAGAATACGTTTATAAGACTAAAGATACCTTAAGCTGGGCATGGTAGCACATGCCTATAAATTCCAGCATTCAAGAAGCTGAAGAAAGAGGATTGCAATTTCAAGGTTAGCCTGGACTACATAGTGAGTTCAAGACCATCCTGGACTACATGGTGAGACTCTGTCTCAAGAAAAAAATGAGGCTGGGGATATAGCTCAGCGGCACAAGCACCTGCTTAGCAAGCGCAAGGTCCCGAGTTCAATTCCAGGTACCAAAACAAAACAAAACAAAAAAACAAAGAAAAATACAAAAAAAAAGAACAAAAAAGATTAAAGATAACTCATCATTATTTCACAGCAAACTCTCAGATTTCAGTGTAGAAAAAAAAATAAGTTCGGCATCTCAATTATTTTTATTTCACTATATTTTCTGATTTGGGATTTGGTAGAGCAGTTATCCCTTTATTACATGGTAGGAGAAAAGAGATAATGCTGGAGCAGAATAGCAAGAGAGAAGAGAGGCCATCAGCTAATCAGAAAACACAATAGAAAAATTAAATTTAAAAATTCAGGAAGAGGGGCTGGGGATTTAGCTCAGCGGCAAAGCACCTGCCTGGCAAGCGCAAGGTCGTGAGTTCGGTTCCCGGTACGGGAGGAAAAAATAAAATAA